TCCAGTGCCTCCAGCCCTAGGGTCTCCAGCTCCAGTGCCTCCAACATCACCAGCTCTGGCAGCTCCAGTACCTCCAGTACGAGCACCTCCAGGACAAGCAGCTCCAGCACCTCCGGTACCTCCAGCTCCAGCAGTAACTCCAGCACCTCCAGAACTAGAAGCTCCAGCACCTCCAGCTCCAGTGCCTCCAGCTCCAGCGCCTCCAGCGCCAGTGCCTCCAGCTTCAGGGTCTCCAGCTCCAGTGCCTCCAGCGCCACGGTCTCCAGCTCCAGCGCCTCCAACACCACCAGCCCTGGCAGCTCCAGTACCACTGGTACGAGCACCTCCAGGACCAGTAGCTCTAGCACCTCCAGCTCCAGTGCCTCCAGCGGCAGAGCCTCCAGATCCTACAACGCCACTCCTAACGTGTGTGCGCTGAGCAAACTATTCGCGCAGTTGCTGCAGTGAGAGAGGCTCCCGCTGGTGAGACTGTCATGGCGAGGCGGGTGACTATGAAGTAGAGAGTGATGTACATCGGGGGCGGGTTCCTGTCGAGGATCTCGGCTAGGAGGGCAGCGTGGTAGCGAGTGTCGCTAGTGCGAAGGTGGGTAACGAGGTCCTCGACTGTGGCAAAGGCTGACAGCTCGGGAAACAGGTAGGGCAGTATAAGGCGGCCGAGAGCAGCAGTGGCATGGGAAGAGTAACAAGCGACTACAGCGTCGTACATGGCTTTAGCATTCTTGTGCTGGCCAAAGTGAGTGTGTTCGGCTAACGGCAGGTGGTTGCGAACGGCTAAGCGAGCAACAGTGTCACGGGTAAGCCACTGTGAGCGAGTCGCACTGTCAGCTGTGGCGGGAGGGGCGAGAGAGGCTCCATACGTGTGGTCAAACAACGAAACGCTGTCTCTAGAATCGCTCAGTAGGTACAGCTGTAATTCGTCTAGCCACGTATCGAACTGGATCGGACGGCCCTCATGATCGAAGGTGAGAACAGTGAGAGAAGCCATAGCGGGCAGAGCAGGGTGGCGCGGGACCAGCAGGGCAGCACGCAGGCAGGGTGGCGTGCGAGCACTAGGGAAGTGCGCAGGGCAGGGCGGGGCGGCGCATGGCTAGGGAAGAGCGGCGCCCGGGTAGGGCAGGGCAGTGCAATGGCAGGGCAGGGCGGCGTCCCGCAGGGCGGCACGTGGGCAAGGCAGAGCTCTGCGGCTGCCAGCAGGGCGGCGCGCGGGCAGCAGGGCGTCGGCCAGCAGGGCAGCGCACAGCAGGGCGGGCAGCAGCAGGGCGGCGCGAGTAGGGCGGTGTGGGCAGCGGTGCGGCTGCCGGCAGGGCGGTGCGCGGGCAGCAGGGTGCCGGCCAGCAGGGCTGCGCGCAGCAGGGCGGGCAGAAGCCGGGCGGCACAAGCAGCAGGGCGGTGTGCAGCAGGGCGGTGCGGGCAGCAGGGTGCCGGCCAGCAGGGCTGCGCGCGGCAGGGCGGGCAGCAGCCGGGCGGCGCAAGCAGCAGGGCGGGGCGCAGCAGGGCGGTGCGGGCAGCAGGGCGGCTCAGCGCGGGCAGGGCAGGGCGACGCGCAGGTAGCAATGCGGCGCGCAGGCAGCAGGGCGACGCGATTGACAGGGCAGGGCGACGCGACGGGCAGGGCAGGGCGACGCGACAACCAGCAGGGAGACGCGACAGCCAGCAGGGCAACGCGACAGATAGGGCAGGGCGACGCGACTAGTGGGGCAGCGCTATGTGGTGGGCCCTAAAAAAAAATCGGTCCTGGAACAGGACCTGCTCTGAAACCATGTCAGAATACTGAACGAGAATGAATGCATTGAAGAGAAAGTTGGTACAAGTACTAACCCTAATTGGGTTGTACCCCTTATGGTTGCAGTAGTCCGTCGTCGACTCCTGCTCGCCCATCCTGAGGTCTGTCGGCTGCTCCTCCAGCTGGCCGATGTACAAGTCCTCCGTCGCCTGGTATGTCGACATGATGAACCGCCATGCCTGGTGGCTTGCGTCCAGTCAAAGTCGACACGGCTTCAGCGCAGTCTACACCATCAGCGAGCAGCACCTCGAGATGACCATGAAGGTGAGCAGGTGAGCGGCACGAAACTCCCCGCGCAGCTCGACCTCATCTTTGTGCGGTATCGACATGATGCCGTCGGCAAAACCCTTCAGCCCGGTGACCTCCAGCTAAGGCTCAATAGCCTCTTTTCACGTGATGAGGTCCTGTTGACCTTGAAGTGGCGTGACGGTGACTTTGTCCAGCGTGAACTTGAGATAGCCATACGCCGGAGCGATCCCGCCACCCGACACATGTGTCGTCGACATGGGCCTCCCACTGCTACGTTGGGGAGAGCGACGTCAACCATCGACGTTGAAACATGAGCTGCCTGCAGCTGCCGTCGATCGCTGCACTCGCGCCTGGCTCCGGTCGACGCCACCGTCGACCTTGATCACACCTCTCTTCTTCGTGCCCTCACTGCCGCTGACTCGTGCACTGCCTTCGACCTCCTCGTCGACACCTCCTTCGTTTCGCACTGGTCGAGGAGAAACAGGTCGGGAAGGGTGAACTGTCGCCCACTTTGCGAGGATGCCCAGCTCGACGAACCCGAAAGAGAGGTTTTGCCTGTACTCGCCATTCTCGTGGCGTCTCCTCATATCAGTCAATCGAGCCTCCAAGGTGTCCTCTATGCCTGCTTCAACTACGGGGTCGACCATGGTGGCTAGGACGGCTGCCGGCCTACAAATGACTTAGTAGGTGCAAAAGTCGGCTCCTATCTGAAGGTCGCGTGTTCAATCCACGCTCACCACACCATGCGGAGAATCACTCTACAATATTCGTGAGCTAGACTACGGGGGGTTGGCACGAGCTCTAGGAGTGATCGCAGTTTCCTTAGCGTTCTCTAGCACTCGTGCGTCCACTGAACAATTTGGTAAGAGGTTTACTAGTGAAAGTTGTATTAGAGAATGAATGACACAACAATGGCAAGAATGACTACGTCAGGCACCTAGCAACCCAGCAACCAGGCTGGTCGATCGCCAGCACAACATGGTCGACCGCCTGCCAGCGTTGCATAGAGGAGCCGCGCCAGCACTGCAGAAACGCAGCCTGCCAACACAGCAGGTCGACGGCATGCCAACGCAGCAGCAGAGTGGCTGTCCAGCGTTGCACCCGTAGAAGACAGCAGTGCACACGCTCGCAGGTGCGCGCAGACAATTGGCCGGACATGCATCGTCACGGACTTGTCGGCTGTTGTCTGCGCCTGACGAGCCACATCGACTTCAAGATACCAGCCCGAAGTCACCTTCGCCCTCGATGACGTTCGTGTGCCTCCGCAGAACTCGCCGAGCATGTTACCTGGTCGACCTGGTAGACCACCCAGTGCGCGCCCTGGTCGACGAGCTCCCTCGTCGACCACCGTGCCCATCGAAGACCACCTGGTCGACAGCCCGTCCGTCGACCAACGCAGCCCTTGACCTCCAGTCGTCGGCAGCTGCTCGCAAGTCCCACGCAGGTCGACGGATGGTCCTAGCCGCAACTGACCGCACTCCACGTCGTCGTTGCCGATGTGGAGTGCGGTCAGTTGCGGCTAGGAGGCGTCGTGAGCGGTGGGCTGCAGCTGGGAGAGGTCAGGTGTGGAGAGAAGGGATCGGGTGCGGTTAGAGGTGGGGGCGGCGTGAGTAGGGGCAGCGGCCACTTCAACTACTAGCGCGCTGGCGGCGACCTAATGAGCCGCTGGCGCATTACAGCGTGCTACTACGGCTGCGTGCGTGCTGTAGGCGGCCTAACCAACTACTCGCGTAGCTGGCGCACATGCAAGGTAATTCAGCTACTTGTTGTGACCTAAGGCAGCAGCGTGTCAGGCAGTAGCAACACGACAAGCAGCGCAAAAGGGACGGACCGTAGGAGCGCGACGAACGGCAGGAGTACGACGAACTGCCTGGCGTCGAGCTATGCGAGGCTCGAGTCGAGGGGCCGCGGAGGCCTTGCGGGGCGCGAAGGCGCAAATCGAGGGGCATTGGGGGCGCAAAACAAGGGGCCTTCTGTGTAACGCCTGTGGGCAGTGTTAATGGGCATTCCGCCGCGCCAAATAACACCCTCGTTTTGACCCAGTGGGTAGTGAGGTGTTACATTTGGTATCAGAGCCTATGGTTTGAATCCGGGCTGAACCACACTTTTCGCCTTTGGCGATAACTGAAGTGTGGTTGTAACCAGCTCGAACCCAGAGAACGATCCTCCGCTGGCCTAAGCAACCAGCGAAGTCGCAGCTAGCAGCACTGCGAAATAGGTCCCAGCAGCAGTGGGGCGACTCCCTAAGTAGAGAGCCAACGGGGACGTTGGCGCCAGGGGAGGACGAGTGTAACGCCTGTAGGCAGTATTAATGGGCATTGCGCTGCGCCAAACAACACCCTCGGGGTGTTATATTCGGGGTGCGAAACAAGGGATACGCGGGGATCGTCTACGTGGCGACTAGGGGGGACCCGTGGGGATCGTGAAAGAGGCAAATCGGAGGACCCACAGAAGGTCGTCCTAAGGGGTGATTTGGGAGGCTGCCGGCATGCGCGCTAAGGACAGCGGGACAGATGAAACAAGGGAGAATGGTAGGTTAGGTTCTTAGGACGAACTCGCAATGGTACCATCTCAAAGTAGCACTTACTGGAGTGGTAGACTAGTGAGGAAATGGGGTACAAGTAGTAGTGTACCCTATAAAATGCAACTCACTACAGCCTAACAAGTCTAACACACATATATTTAGGTCATTTGACACTCGCATTCAAGATAAATTCCCATTGAATAAAATGTCGACATTATATGAACGCTTGCGAAGGCTTTTCGTCAACAGAAAAGCAGCCAACGAGATGTGCACGGATCTTACAGCCGAAACGAGATGTGCACGAATCTTGCATCCCAAGTTAGTGCACATCGACAACCCCCTTACCCCAGTGGCGTAATTGAGGAATTACCACAGTGTACCAATAATACAACCAAGCCTCAAGCCTGGTGAAGTCATGCAATCTCAACAAGACGCAGCCATGACTCATAATCTCTTCACAGCATCGTACTGTCGCATGCTGCCACGCCCATGTGCTCCATTCTCCCCCACACAGCCCCCCACCTCCACAACCACCAGCTCCTGCGCCCCTCCTCCCATGAGAGCTCCCAGCGCGGCTGAAGAGTCACTGGGCGGCGCACCCATGTCGAGGCGGCACGCCACCTCGCGCTCTGCCAGTGCCAGCGCCAGCCCCACCTGCACCCACTCGTGCTGCGCCGCTCTCACTGCTCTTAGCGTTTCCACCGTGCTGTTCCCTCCTCCTACCACTGCCACCCGCTCCTCCCACAGCTGCACTCTCTCCTCCAATGGTAGGCCCTCCTCACATGCTCCCTCCTCCTCACACACTCCCTGCTCCTCACACACCCTCGCCTCTCCCTCTCCACCCTCCAAGGGCCGCCGTCCCTCCTCGGTGCACGAAGCACCATTCAAGCACTCAGGTCGTGAACCTTCAAGCCCCCTCACCCCACTGCCATTCACCAGCAAACAGCCGCCCCCTCCAGCCCGGCCACTCCGCATTCCCCCTCCACTGCTGTCCCTTGTGACCCGGGGCTCATGACTGCTCTCTGAGGGTCCGCCCATACCATTACCCATGTGCAGGGCAGCATGCAAAGCACAGGCCGCATGAGAGGCAGATGCATGGCTTCTTACGGTGGGTGGACAAGTGTGGGGCTTCGTATCGGCAGGCGGTGGTGTTGAGCACGGGGAAGGGTAGGAGGAAGAGTGATGGGCAGACTCGGAGAGGGCCAGGGTGGCTGTGATGTGGGCTGCCAGGCGCTCGCCCTGCTTCAGTACCTGCAGTGGTGAGGAGAGTTGGGGGGGAGGGAGGAGAGTGGCGAGGGGAAGGGAAGGGTATGCATGGGTGAATGAGATGGATGAAAACACCGCGAGCACAGCAGGAGAGCATGTGAGCACAGCAGGAGAGCATGTGAGCACAGCAGGAGAGCATGTGAGCACAGCAGGAGAGCATGCGAGCACAGCAGGAGAGCATGTGAGCAAAGCAGGAGAGCATGTGAGCACAGCAGGAGAGCATGCGAGCACAGCAGGAGAGCATGTGAGCACAGCAGGAAAGCATGTGAGCACAGCAGGAGAGCATGTGAGCACAGCAGGAGAGCATGTGAGCACTTGCATAACACTGCAATAACACTCTCCGTCTCCCTCAACCTCCCTCCCCCCCTCCCCTCCCTTTTCCCCCCTCTCCTGGCAGCACGCACGAGCGTGGCATGGCAGAGTCGGGCCTCCAGCTGCTGCCGGTTGGCGCCCCACGAGAGGGCCGCCGCCTCACTCGCCTCGGCTGCTGCCTGCACGTCCCTCGCCGCCGCTGCTGCCTCCCCAGCCAGCAGATCGTACTCTGGGTGACACGGCCAGGAGGGACGGGGCGGGGAGAGGCAGGGGACAGCATGAGAAGTGAGATAGCGTTTCGGGAAAGGAGAGAAAGGAAAAGGAGGAGGATTGGGGGGGAGGGGAAGCGTGGAGGCAGTGGTGATACAGGCTGAGGCGTGAACGGGGATAGGGAGACTCAAGAGAGGCGCATGCAGGTGGAGAGGAAGGGACTGCGTCTGGTTGGATGCGTGTTCAGTGTGGGCGGTGTGGGGAGTGGACGGCAGCACGATGTGGGGAGTGGGCGGCAGCACGATGTGGGGAGTGGGCGGCAGCACGATGTGGGGAGTGGGCGGCAGCACGATGTGGGGAGTGGGCGGCAGCACGATGTGGGGAGTGGGCGGCAGCACGGTGTGGGGAGTGGGCGGCAGCATGTACCTGCTTCGAGTCGCAGCAGGCTCTCAAAGGGCAGGTCTACCCGCATGGCCTTGTACACCAGCTCCTCCATCTCCTCCTCGCTCACCTCCTGTCATGGCATGGCATGGCATGGCCCCATGCATGCATGCATGCACGTGAGATCATGAGATGAGACACAAGCATACACACGCACACACGCACACACGCACACACGCACACACGCACGCACGCACGCACGCACGCACGCACGCACGCACGCACGCACGCACGCACGCACGCACGCACACACACACACACACACACACACACACACACACATGCACTTGCACATGCACATACAAGCACACACATATACACACAAACATGCACATGGGCACACACACACACGCATGCACAAGCACACACACACAAACAGGAGGCATGAGTGCAGGCAAGGCTAAATTGCATGCGGACTGGGAGGGAGGCTGTTAGGCTCTTAGGAGAGTGAGAGACAGTGTATGATGGTAGAATGGGTGGATGTGGTTTTAAACACGAAATTGAAGCACCTTGCATCTCTGAAGCATGAGGCTGGAAGTAACGTAACGTGAGTCACCGTGAGGGAATATGGGGTGCCATGAAGTACGGTGAGGGACTGTGCGGTACCAGGGGGTGTGCGGTACCAGGGGGTGTGCGGTACCAGGGGGTGTGCGGTACCAGGGGGTGTGCGGTACCAGGGGGTGTGCGGTACCAGGGGGTGTGCGGTACCAGGGGGTGTGCGGTACCAGGGGGTGTGCGGTACCAGGGGGTGTGCGGTACCAGGGGGTGTGCGGTACCAGGGGGTGTGCGGTACCAGGGGGTGTGCGGTACCAGGGGGTGTGCGGTACCAGGGGGTGTGCGGTACCAGGGGGTGTGCGGTACCAGGGGGTGTGCGGTACCAGGGGGTGTGCGGTACCAGGGGGTGTGCGGTACCAGGGGGTGAACTTTGGATTAGAATCCTTGAATCCTTGAATCCTTGAATCCTTGAATCCTTGAATCCTTGAATCCTTGAATCCTTGAATCCTACATCTGTTCTATAAACTTGGGTAGAATAGGCACCCAAACTTGGTTTGGGTGCACAAATAGGGCTAACCCTAGTTGGAAGTTGGGAACTCAACCTTGGTCCAATTATCTGACCCTTAAAGTTGGGTTGGGAGATTATTGGACCCCCCCATAATCTTGGCCCAGAGACCAACATTATTGAGACCCCCCAATAATTCTCCAGCCCGACGATGGTGGGGGCCAATAATGTTGGCCAAAAACCCAACCAACCCCTCGCCCGTCCCCTTTTCTCTTCCAACAATGTATACCCCATCCACTCTCATGAAACTATTGGTTATTCTTCACAACTCTCACAGGGTTGCAAGAGAGCTCACCTTGAGCTGCGCTGGCAGCTCGGTGCGCAGCAGGCACATGGCATACTCCATCTCCGGACACTGCTGCAGCTGCCGCCTGCACACCTGGTGTGGGGAGGGCACCCGTGGGGAGGGGAGTTGGGGGGAAGGAAATGGGAAGGGGAACGGGGAGAGGGGATGGGAGGAGGGAATGGGGGGAGGGGACGGGGGAGGGGAATGGGAAATACGGATGGGAAGAGGCCGCTTGTGGGAGGAGAGGAGAGGTGGGTGATGGGAAGTGGGTGGGAAAAGGAGGGGGAGGGACGGTAGTGCAGTGGGGCAAGGGAAGAGGTGGGAAGAAATGGGAGGAGGTGGGAGGTGGGAGGAGGTGGAAGGAGGTGGGAGGAGGTGGGAGGAGGTGGGATGAGGTGGGAGGGCAAATACCTGCAGGAGAACGATGGCGAGCTTGAAGACAATTGCAGTAGTCTGCTCCGCTGCAGTGATGCGAGATGAGAGATGAGAGATGAGAGATGAGAAGGAACCAAGGGGGCGGATGAAAAGGGGGTGGATGTAAGGGAGGGAAGCACACGGAGTGACGAGGATAGAGGGGTGCACGAGGGCACGAGGTTGGCTGAGATGGAGAGACAGCAAGAGAGTGGGGGAAAGGGGGTGGATGGGGGAAAGGGATGTGCAGATCCGGAGCACACTGAGGTGGCGGGGGAACGGCAAGGCAAGCAAAGGAGCGGAGGGGAGGGGGCGGATGTGAAGCACCAAGGGACGGGAGCAAAGAGGGTGGATGAGAGGGAGGGAAGCTTCTATTCTCTAGAGAAAAGAAAGGCAAGAATGCAGAGGCGAGCATGAGGGAGGTGGAAGACAGGAATGATATGACACGAGGAGTTGGGGGCCATGGGAAAATCCGGAGAGAGTGGATGTGGAGGGTAGAGTGAGGGCAGCGGGCGGCAGTGCAAGAGGCAGCGGTGAGCAACGAGAGTAGCAGCAGCGAGCAGCAGGTGACACAGAGAGTGCGTTGTGGAGCGAGCAGGTAGAGCTGCTGATGGGACAGTTCAAAATGACAAAAGTTGCTGCAGACGTTAGTGCACCGAGGATGATGTCAGCGTACCGAGGATGATGTCAGCGTACCGAGGATGATGTCAGCGTACCGAGGATGATGTCAGCGTACCGAGGATGATATCAGCGTACCGAGGATGATGTCAGCGTACCAAGGATGATGTCGAAGACGCGGAAGACGAGGTAGTGAGGCATGGTGCGCGCGAAGAGAGTGAGGAACCAGTCCGCCGCATACATCACCTGGTGGCGCGGCATGGCGTGGCGCCATGGCACAGGGCATGGTGGGGCGTGGTGGGGCATGGTAGGGAGGGAATAATAGGGCATGACGTGCATGGGGTGAGGAACCAGTCCACCGCGTACATCACCAAGGTGGCGCCACGCCATGGCATGGCATGGTGTGTATGGGGCATGGCGGGGTGGTGTGGGGCGTGATGGGGCATGGTGGGGTGGTGTGGGGCGTGATGGGGCATGGCGTGCATAGGGAGGGAGGGGACACCTGATGTGTGCGACGCCGATGAACGGCTGTCATGTTGTTGGGCTGAAGGCGTGCATAAGGAGGGGAACGTTTCAAAGCTGAAGTGAGAGGAATGAGTGGGGCTGTGAGGCATGGTGATTGAATACAATAGCCGAGGCACAACACATATGGCGTGGCATGGGGTAGCGTAGCATGGGTTGGCATGGCATGGCACGGCGTAGCGTGGCGTGGCATGGCATGGCATGGCATGGGGTGTGTCATACGGGTTTGATGTCGAGGTGTTCGAAGAAGGCATGCACGCGTGGCAGAGTGTGGATGAGCAGCTGGGTGAGCTGATACATGCGCACTTGCAGCTGCCAGTGGGGGGGCACAGGGGCATTCACACACACGGGCATGCAAACACATGCATTACACACATGTACACACGTGCACCCACATGTACACACGTGCACCCACATATCATACACCCACATGCACACACCCACATGCGTCCAAGAGAGGGAGCGGGAGGGATGTGATGTTACAGCAAGATCCAGAGAAGGCATCATGGGATGGCAATAACATGCGAGAAGGCATCATGGGATGGCAATAGCATGCGAGAAGGCATCATGGGATGGCAATAACATGCGAGAAGGCATCATGGGATGGCAATGGCATGCGAGTTGTGCACACAAGGCATCCGTAGCAGTCAACGCCCCACTTGCTGCATGTCTAAACGCCCCACCACACCTGCTGCATGTCTTGAAGGCCACACAGCACCTGCTGCATGTCTTAAAGCCCCAACCCACGACACCTGCTGCATGTCTTAAAGCCCCATCCCGCCACACCTGCTGCATGTCTTAAAGCCCCATCCCACCGCACCTGCTGCATGTCTTAAAGCCCCATCCCACCGCACCTGCTGTATGTCGGGCAGGAAGACCCACCTGCTGCATGTCGGGCTTTAAGACCCACCTGCTGCATGTCGGGCAGGAAGACCCCTCGCAGGCCGCAGCGGTACATGAGGAAGACGAGGCACGTGAAGGCGTGCTCCTCCCCCATGCTCATCAGCAGTGTCGCTGCTATGAACCCCATGCCCTGCCCGCCCCGCCATGCGCCACATGCCATGCGCCATGCATACACGCAACATGCCATGCGCCGCCATGCATACACGCAAGATGCACCGTGCAGCACACATGGGCAGCGGAGATGATGGCGTGGTGGGGGGGAGTGATGGAGGCAGGCAGAGGCAACGGGAAAGAGAGGAAGAGAGAGAGAGAGATGTTGGGTGTGGGGGATGGGGAGGGGAAGAGGCAGTGGAGTGGAGGCATGTGAGAGAACAAATCAACATGGTTCTCTACAAAAGGGAGCGGCAGAGCTGAGAGGAATGAGGCTACAGGTGGTGAGGACACATGGGCACGACTGAAAGGGGTGGGCAGGCAGGGCTAGAGAGGAGAGGCGAAGGGAAGGAGGCGAAGTAACAAGGAAAGGGAAGGGAAGGAAGGGAGGAAGGGAAGGGGAAAAGAAAATGGGCTAGATGGTGAGTAAGAGTGATAGATCGATTGGAAGGCAAAATAACAAAAGGGGAAAAAGGAGGGAAAGAGGGCGAGAAGAGGGAGAGAGGGCAAGGAGAGAGGAGAGGGCAAAGAGAGAGGAGAGGGCAATGGGATGGGGAGAGGGCAAGGGGAGGGGGAGAGGGCAAGGGGAGGGGGGGAGGGCAGGGGGAGGGGGAGGGGGCAAGGGAAGGGGGAGAGGGCAAGGGGAGGGGGCAAGGCCAGGGGAAGGTACCTGGCAGTAGCCGACTTCCTTGTCCAACACCTGATGCGCGCCATGGGCAGGCGCGCGGCGTGCAGGGGCGGGGCAAGAGACGAAGAGGGAACGCAGAGACGGAGTAAGGACCAGAATGCAAGAGAAAGGTGGGGTGGGCATGGCATGGCATGGATTGAATGGCGTGGAACGGCATTAATGGAATGGAATGGCATTAATGGAATGGAATGGCATTAATGGAATGGAATGGCACAAAGCAGGGCGCTGCAAAACAGAAGGGTGCAGCAGAGCAGAGGAAGGGCAGAGAGCACATAGCAGGGCAGGGCAGAGCAGGGCAGAGCAGGGCAGTGAGCACATAGCAGGGCAGGGCAGGGAAGGGCAAGGAAGGGCAGGGCAGGGCAGGGCAGAGCAGGGCATGGGTGAGGTACGGAGTAGGCGTGGATGATGTAGAAGAGCAAGTGGTGGGCGGTGAGAGAGGGAAGACACAAGGCAGGGAGCAGCAGGGTGCAGTGCAGCAGCAGAGAGCTCATAGCAGGGCAGGGCAGTGGGGGGTGGGGGGAAGGGTGGGGCAGGGCAGGGTGGGGGGTGCGGTGCGGTGCGGTACGGAGTAGGCTTTGATGACGTTGAAGAGCGACTGCTGGCCCGCGCCCCTCTCCTCCTGGAACAGCCGGTGGTTGGGGAAGGTGCGGTTCACGTCCCGCTCTATCTCCCTGCCAGCAGCGCGGGGGAGGGGGGTGGGGGGAATGGGTGTTGTAATTTCATATTTCATACAACATACATAGGCTAGAAGTGTAGCACATTTATAAATTGGGGGGTTGCTTAGTGTACCCTCCAACCACATTTTGTGGTTGGTTGGGATTGGTCCTTAGCTCAACCAATCCCAACCAACACACATTTGTGGTTGCTTGGGTCACAAGCAAGCTCACCCATTGGCCAACTTATTGGCCAATAGGGTAAGCTTCCCTCTCATCTCTCTCTTGCTCATTGTTTGTACTAAAGAGCCTCTTGGCTCATTATTCAATGTATCAATTCCCTCTCTTCTAACAATGGGGTGGTTGGGGAAGGTGCGGTTCACATCCCGCTCTATCTCCCTGCCAGCAGCGCGGGGGAGGGGGGTGGGGGGAATGGGGTGGTTGGGGAAGGTGCGGTTCACATCCCGCTCTATCTCCCTGCCAGCAGCGCGGGGGAGGGGGGTGGGGGGAATGGGGTGGTTGGGGAAGGTGCGGTTCACATCCCGCTCTATCTCCCTGCCAGCAGCGCGGGGGAGGGGGGTGGGGGGAATGGGGTGGTTGGGGAAGGTGCGGTTCACATCCCGCTCTATCTCCCTGCCAGCAGCGCGGGGGAGGGGGGTGGGGGGAATGGGGTGGTTGGGGAAGGTGCGGTTCACATCCCGCTCTATCTCCCTGCCAGCAGCGCGGGGGAGGGGGGTGGGGGGAATGGGGTGGTTGGGGAAGGTGCGGTTCACATCCCGCTCTATCTCCCTGCCAGCAGCGCGGGGGAGGGGGGTGGGGGGAATGGGGTGGTTGGGGAAGGTGCGGTTCACATCCCGCTCTATCTCCCTGCCAGCAGCGCGGGGGAGGGGGGTGGGGGGAATGGGGTGGTTGGGGAAGGTGCGGTTCACATCCCGCTCTATCTCCCTGCCAGCAGCGCGGGGGAGGGGGGTGGGGGGAATGGGGTGGTTGGGGAAGGTGCGGTTCACATCCCGCTCTATCTCCCTGCCAGCAGCGCGGGGGAGGGGGGTGGGGGGAATGGGGTGGTTGGGGAAGGTGCGGTTCACATCCCGCTCTATCTCCCTGCCAGCAGCGCGGGGGAGGGGGGTGGGGGGAATGGGGTGGTTGGGGAAGGTGCGGTTCACATCCCGCTCTATCTCCCTGCCAGCAGCGCGGGGGAGGGGGGTGGGGGGAATGGGGTGGTTGGGGAAGGTGCGGTTCACATCCCGCTCTATCTCCCTGCCAGCAGCGCGGGGGAGGGGGGTGGGGGGAATGGGGTGGTTGGGGAAGGTGCGGTTCACATCCCGCTCTATCTCCCTGCCAGCAGCGCGGGGGAGGGGGGTGGGGGGAATGGGGTGGTTGGGGAAGGTGCGGTTCACATCCCGCTCTATCTCCCTGCCAGCAGCGCGGGGGAGGGGGGTGGGGGGAATGGGGTGGTTGGGGAAGGTGCGGTTCACATCCCGCTCTATCTCCCTGCCAGCAGCGCGGGGGAGGGGGGTGGGGGGAATGGGGTGGTTGGGGAAGGTGCGGTTCACATCCCGCTCTATCTCCCTGCCAGCAGCGCGGGGGAGGGGGGTGGGGGGAATGGGGTGGTTGGGGAAGGTGCGGTTCACATCCCGCTCTATCTCCCTGCCAGCAGCGCGGGGGAGGGGGGTGGGGGGAATGGGGTGGTTGGGGAAGGTGCGGTTCACATCCCGCTCTATCTCCCTGCCAGCAGCGCGGGGGAGGGGGGTGGGGGGAATGGGGTGGTTGGGGAAGGTGCGGTTCACATCCCGCTCTATCTCCCTGCCAGCAGCGCGGGGGAGGGGGGTGGGGGGAATGGGGTGGTTGGGGAAGGTGCGGTTCACATCCCGCTCTATCTCCCTGCCAGCAGCGCGGGGGAGGGGGGTGGGGGGAATGGGGTGGTTGGGGAAGGTGCGGTTCACATCCCGCTCTATCTCCCTGCCAGCAGCGCGGGGGAGGGGGGTGGGGGGAATGGGGTGGTTGGGGAAGGTGCGGTTCACATCCCGCTCTATCTCCCTGCCAGCAGCGCGGGGGAGGGGGGTGGGGGGAATGGGGTGGTTGGGGAAGGTGCGGTTCACATCCCGCTCTATCTCCCTGCCAGCAGCGCGGGGGAGGGGGGTGGGGGGAATGGGGTGGTTGGGGAAGGTGCGGTTCACATCCCGCTCTATCTCCCTGCCAGCAGCGCGGGGGAGGGGGGTGGGGGGAATGGGGTGGTTGGGGAAGGTGCGGTTCACATCCCGCTCTATCTCCCTGCCAGCAGCGCGGGGGAGGGGGGTGGGGGGAATGGGGTGGTTGGGGAAGGTGCGGTTCACATCCCGCTCTATCTCCCTGCCAGCAGCGCGGGGGAGGGGGGTGGGGGGAATGGGGTGGTTGGGGAAGGTGCGGTTCACATCCCGCTCTATCTCCCTGCCAGCAGCGCGGGGGAGGGGGGTGGGGGGAATGGGGTGGTTGGGGAAGGTGCGGTTCACATCCCGCTCTATCTCCCTGCCAGCAGCGCGGGGGAGGGGGGTGGGGGGAATGGGGTGGTTGGGGAAGGTGCGGTTCACATCCCGCTCTATCTCCCTGTGCCCGGTGGTGGGGGGGGAGGGGAATGGGGGGAATGGAGTGAATGGGAGGGATGGGGTATGCAGCGACAAGCGCGGGCAGAAGGAGGGAGAGGGAGCATGTAACTGTTTGTGTGGCCTGCCATGAGAGCGTGTGTGTGGGGGTGGGAAGCTCACTTGGCGTGTGTGGGGGTGGGGAGCTCACTTGGCGGAGGCGGAGGGCTGCATGAGCAGAGAGGCGTAGCTGCTGCCATCCGCCAGGGTGTCCTGGTGGTGCGAGGAGACGGTGGGGGGATGCGATGTGTGATAGGTGGCATGGCATGTGGAGGGAGGGTGGAGGGGAGAGGAGGAAGAGGAGGTTGGAAAAGGGAGTAAGGAGAGGGGAGAGCAAGGGGAGCGAAGGAGGGTAAGGAGAAGGGGGGGAACAACGAATTAGTCAAAAGGATGGTGCAACAGATTGAAAACAGGTAGCTCATGAGAAGACATGGAGGAGATGCGTTGAGGTGTGTTGAGATGCATTGAGGCATGACAATGCAGGGGTGCGGATTCTAGCAGATCAGGCATGAGCAGAGCAGGCGGGGCAGCAGCAGCAGCAGCAGCAGCAGTGACTGACATGAGGGTGGGCGATGGCGATGGCGACCCAGGCGGCGCCCCTCTGGTTGCGCGGCACACGGCCCGCCAGCAGCGCCTCCACCAGCGTCATCCCCACTGGCAGCTGAATCACACTCGCACCCCCGCTCGTGCCCACTCCCATGCCCATGCCCATGCTCGCCCCGAAACTGGCGCTGTGGTTGAGATGCTGCTGGGTGGGGCAGCGAGGCGAGAGAAGAGAGAGGCGTGGCGAGGCTTCCTGCTGAGAGCAGAAGAGGATGAGGGAAAACGTGGTGGGTGGGAATTCAACGGCGATGAGGAGAGGAGCAAGTTGGAATGTGCAGAGGAGCGAGTTGGACTGCAGAGAGGCTGATGCAAGCCATGCATGAACCAGATGGTACCTCGAATGGTCTCTCTCTCCCAGCAAACACTTCCAAAAAAAAAAAAAAAAAAGGCATATTAAATGCACACTAAATGTACTATGCTTGCATATCAGACAAACCTCAATGTCGGAACCTCTGGGTGGCGGCATGATGCGTTTCAAGCGCTCCCACATGCGCACCATGCGCTGCCCGCCCGTTGCTGCCGCCTCTGCCGCCACCATCGCTGCTTGCCGCCCGCTGCCGCCCGCTTCATGGTCCAAATCGGTCAGGGACCCTGGGGGGGCGGGAACGGGGGAGAAGGATGACGGTGACGCAAGTAAGGGAAGCCTGCCTTACTTCCCTAAATATTCCTCCCCCCTTGTTGATCTTCCTATTTTTTCCTCCACCCTTATTGCTCTTCCTAATCTTTTCTCCACCCTTGTTGCTCTTCCTCGAGCTCTCAATCTCCCTCTCCCTCCCTCCTTCCCTCTCCCTCGCCCTTGCCGTTCCCACCCGTCCCCCAGCCTTCACCCCCTCACCAATGGTGGTGCTGCGGCGGTGGCGGTGGCGGTGGTGGTGGTGGTGGGAGGGCCAGTGGGCGAGCAGGGCGGGCAGGGAGTCACCATCGCCGCCCCTGAGAGCCAGGCTGCTGTGCCGCGTGTGCTGCAGCACCAACGGGTATGCTTGCCCGCCTGCAGGGGGCTCTCGGTGACACGTGGCGGAGCACGTGGCATCACCATCACCCCCGCCTCTGCTGCTTGTGGTGACGTTGTTGTTGCTGCTGCCGCTGCTGCTGCCGCTGCTGCCGCCGCTGCTGCCGCCGCTGCTGCCGCTGGCGTTGCTTGTGGTGGTTGCAGCGGCAGCGGCAGCGGAGGTGGAAGCAAGGAAGTGGTCGAGGGGGGAGGAGGAGGAGCAGAGGGACATGGAGGAGAGGCGCAGGAGGGCAGGGGTGGTGGGTGTGGGGCGGGCGGGGGGCGAGGGGTGCGAGGATGGGCTGAACACAGGGAGAGGCACGGGCAGAGGGCGCTTGGCTAGCCTTGCGTCGGCTGTTGGCGCAGGCAGGGGGGTGGTGACAGGGGGGTGGTGACAGGGGGGTGGTGACAGGCAGGGGGGTGGTGACAGGGGGAGGGGAAAAGGAAGGGAAGGGGGAGAGGGAGGGATGGGAGGGGAGGGAAGGGAATGGATGGAGGGCAAGGGAGGGAGGAAATGCGGGGAAGGGAGGGAGGGGAAAGGTGTAGTGATTGGAAGCAGGGAGGAAGAAGCAGCAGTGGAGTGGCATTGATGGCATGGAGATTTACATGAGTGCACGTGACACAAGGAGCACTGGTGGAGCATGGGGGAATGCAGGAGGCGGCCACGTCAGCAGCAGCCCTCCAGGGCGGCACAGTGCCACCCACGCGAATTCTTCTCTTATGCACCTGCTGTGTGCCACCTGCTGTGTGCCACCTGCTGTGTGCCACCTGCTGTGTGCCACCTGCTGTGTGCCACCTGCTGTGAATACCTTGGTGCAGCGCCCTGGTGGGCGCCATGCTCATGCTGCGCTGCACAGGACTGCAACTCGCCGCCCCTCCTGCCCCTCCACCTGCTGCTGCTACTACTGGTGACCACGGGGAGGCAGAGGCAGGCAGCGCAGGGAAGATGCCATCAGCAGCACCCATTTCCCTCATGCGCGCCCCCATCACCCCCGCACCCCCCATCCCTTGCTGCTGCTGTTCCCACGGCCGGCCCCCTCCCAGCCAGGCAGTGGCGCCGTTGCTGCTGGGGCTGCTGGTGTGAGCGTGGAAGGAGTGGGAGGCGAGGGGCGGAGGGGAAGGGGAAGGGAAGTCCGCGAGGCGCAGGGAGGGGGACACGGGGGAGGGGCGGTGGGAGGGCGTGTAGTCCAGCATGCTGTTCTGGCGCTCGATCTGGGGGGGGGGGGAGAAGAGGAGAGGGGAGGGGGAGAGGGGGTGGGGCCAGGTGGACATGGGAGTTGGAGCAAGAGGGGCGGTGGGAGGGTGCGTAGTCCAGCATGCTGTTCTGGCGCTCGATCTGTGGAGGGGGGACGGAAGGGGGGGAGGAGCAGGAGATGATGTGGTGCAGGTGGACATGGGAATTGGAGGATGAGGGGCAGAGAGGCTGTAAGGGTGTGGACAGGGGGAGAAAGGGAATGGGGGGTGGGGAGTCAGGGCGAGGATGGTGAGGAGAATGGATGCAGTGATGCAGTGGTGCAGTGGTGCAGTGGTGCAGTGGTGCAGTGGTGCAGTGATGCAGTGGTGCAGTGATGCAGAGCAGAGGCATGTGCAGCATGAGGTGCCGCCACGCCATGGCATCCCTCCAGCTCAGCTCACCCGGAGCAGCATGAGCTCTTCTCTGAGGCAGCGCAGCCACTCGCTGTGCTTGAGCGCGCAGAACTGCTTCTCCTCGCCCACCCGCCCCTCCGCCTCCGCCAGGTCGCGCCGCTTCACTATCTTGATGTCGCCGCCCCCCAGCACGCGGCTGGCTGGTTGGGGGAGACGGGAGGAGAGGGGAGGCGAGGAGCAGGAAAGGAAGTGGGATGTGCAGATACTGAGTTGAATATTGTGCCGCTTCACCATCTTTTATGTCCCCCCTGGCCAGCCGGTGGGGAGAGGGGGGAAGGGAGGAGGCAAGAGGAGGAGAGGGGAGTGAAGGGGAGGATCAGGGCGAGGGATGTGCAGATGGCTTAGGAGGAATGCTGAGAAGGGGGTTTTAGTGGTTTGGAATATAATATGGTGCAGCAGCGTGAATGAGATGTATGTCCAATGCACAGCATCTTGACTCGAACAGCTCATCTTCCTCAGTCTCACCTTCCTCAGTCTCACCTTCCTCGTGCTCACCTTCCTGGCGCAGGGCGTGGGCGTCGGGGTCGGAGAGCACGGTGCTCATGAACACACTGCGCGCGCGCGACAGCAAGTCCACCCGCGCCGCCCACGGTGCCGCCGCTGCTCCTGCTGCTGCTGCTGCTGTGGCTGCTGCTAAGGGTGCAGCTGTAGCGGATGAGGCTGATGGACTGGCGGTAGGGGCTGCGGCGGGCCTGCAAGGGGAGAGGGAGGAGGAAGGGGGGAATGTGGCAGGGGGAGAGAGGGAGGGAGAGTGGGAGAGGGGGTTGAGAGGGGTTGCTGGAGTGGAGATGCCGGGGTGAGGTGGGAGGGACAAGGGGGCGGGAGAAATGACATGGATGATGGACGATGATGGGGCCGAGGGGACCATGGTGAGAGGCATGTGAGGGGCATGTGATGTGACGAGAGTGGCATGTGATGTGATGAGAGTGGAATGTGATGTGATGAGAGTGGCATGTGATGTGATGAGAGTGGAATGTGATGTGATGAGAGTGGCATGTGATGTGATGAGAGTGGAATGTGATGTGATGAGAGTGGCATGTGATGTGATGAGAGTGGAATGTGATGTGATGAGAGTGGCATGTGATGTGATGAGAGTGGAATGTGATGAGATGAGAGTGGCATGTGATGTGATGAGAGTGGAATGTGATGTGATGAGAGTGGCATGTGATGTGATGAGAGTGGAATGTGACTGGAGGAGCATGCGAAGGGCAGCTGATGAGCAGAGCACTGTTAAGTGCTAAGAGATGGCGACAGGAAAGTGGAATGCAGGCACGGTTCAGGTAAGAAAGACACAAGCGTTGGTTCGACAGTAGATTCACAGGGACAGTAGATTCACAGGGAGAGTAGACTCACAGGGACAGTAGATTCACAGGGACAGTAGATTCACAGGGACAGTAGACTCACAGGGACAGTAGATTCACAGGGACAGTAGATTCACAGGGACAGTAGACTCACAGGGACAGTAGATTCACAGGGACAGTAGATTCACAGGGACAGTAGATTCACAGGGACAGTAGATTCACAGGGACAGTAGACTCACAGGGACAGTAGATTCACAGGGACAGTAGACTCACAGGGACAGTAGATTCACAGGGACAGTAGATTCACAGGGACAGTAGATTCACAGGGACAGTAGATTCACAGGGACAGTAGACTCACAGGGACAGTAGATTCACAGGGACAGTAGACTCACAGGGACAGTAGACTCACAGGGACAGTAGATTCACAGGGACAGTAGATTCACAGGGACAGTAGATTCACAGGGACAGTAGATTCACAGGGACAGTAGACTCACAGGGACAGTAGATTCACAGGGACAGTAGACTCACAGGGACAGTCGATTCACAGGGACAGTCGATTCACAGGGACAGTCGATTCACAGGGACAGTAGATTCACAGGGACAGTAGATTCACAGGGACAGTAGATTCACAGGGACAGTATATTCACAGGGACAGTAGATTCACAGGGACAGTAGATTCACAGGGACAGTAGATTCACAGGGACAGTAGACTCACAGGGACAGTCGATTCACAGGGACAGTCGATTCACAGGGACAGTCGATTCACAGGGACAGTAGATTCGCAGGGACAGTCGATTCACAGGGACAGTCGATTCACAGGGACAGTCGATTCACAGGGACAGTCGATTCACAGGGACAGTAGATTCGCAGGGACAGTCGATTCACAGGGACAGTCGATTCACAGGGACAGTCGATTCACAGGGACAGTCGATTCACAGGGACAGTCGATTCACAGGGACAGTCGATTCACAGGGACAGTCGATTCACAGGGACAGTCGAGTCACAGGGACAGTCGATTCACAGGGACAGTCGATTCACAGGGACAGTCGATTCACAGGGACAGTCGATTACAGGGACAGTAGATTCACAGGGACAGTAGATTCACAGGGACAGTAGATTCACAGGGACAGTAGATTCACAGGGACAGTAGATTCACAGGGACAGTCGATTCACAGGGACAGTCGATTCACAGGGACAGTCGATTCACAGGGACAGTCGATTCACAGGGACAGTCGATTCACAGGGACAGTCGATTCACAGGGACAGTCGATTCACAGGGACAGTCGATTCACAGGGACAGTCGATTCACAGGGACAGTCGATTCACAGGGACAGTCGATTCACAGGGACAGTCGATTCACAGGGACAGTCGATTCACAGGGACAGTCGATTCACAGGGACAGTCGATTCACAGGGACAGTCGATTCACAGGGACAGTCGATTCACAGGGACAGTCGATTCACAGGGACAGTCGATTCACAGGGACAGTCGATTCACAGGGACAGTCGATTCACAGGGACAGTCGATTCACAGGGACAGTCGATTCACAGGGACAGTCGATTCACAGGGACAGTCGATTCACAGGGACAGTCGATTCACAGGGACAGTCGATTCACAGGGACAGTCGATTCACAGGGACAGTCGATTCACAGGGACAGTCGATTCACAGGGACAGTCGATTCACAGGGACAGTAGATTCACAGGGACAGTAGATTCACAGGGACAGTAGATTCACAGGGACAGTAGATTCACAGGGACAGTAGATTCACAGGGACAGTCGATTCACAGGGACAGTCGATTCACAGGGACAGTCGATTCACAGGGACAGTCGATTCACAGGGACAGTCGATTCACAGGGACAGTCGATTCACAGGGACAGTCGATTCACAGGGACAGTCGATTCACAGGGACAGTCGATTCACAGGGACAGTCGATTCACAGGGACAGTCGATTCACAGGGACAGTCGATTCACAGGGACAGTAGATTCGCAGGGACAGTCGATTCACAGGGACAGTCGATTCACAGGGACAGTCGATTCACAGGGACAGTCGATTCACAGGGACAGTAGATTCACAGGGACAGTAGATTCACAGGGACAGTAGATTCACAGGGACAGTCGATTCACAGGGACAGTCGATTCACAGGGACAGTCGATTCACAGGGACAGTCGATTCACAGGGACAGTCGATTCACAGGGACAGTCGATTCACAGGGACAGTCGATTCACAGGGACAGTCGATTCACAGGGACAGTCGATTCACAGGGACAGTCGATTCACAGGGACAGTCGATTCACAGGGACAGTCGATTCACAGGGACAGTCGATTCACAGGGACAGTCGATTCACAGGGACAGTCGATTCACAGGGACAGTCGATTCACAGGGACAGTCGATTCACAGGGACAGTCGATTCACAGGGACAGTCGATTCACAGGGACAGTCGATTCACAGGGACAGTCGATTCACAGGGACAGTAGATTCACAGGGACAGTAGATTCACAGGGACAGTAGATTCACAGGGACAGTAGATTCACAGGGACAGTAGATTCACAGGGACAGTCGATTCACAGGGACAGTCGATTCACAGGGACAGTCGATTCACAGGGACAGTCGATTCACAGGGACAGTCGATTCACAGGGACAGTCGATTCACAGGGACAGTCGATTCACAGGGACAGTCGATTCACAGGGACAGTCGATTCACAGGGACAGTCGATTCACAGGGACAGTCGATTCACAGGGACAGTAGATTCGCAGGGACAGTCGATTCACAGGGACAGTCGATTCACAGGGACAGTCGATTCACAGGGACAGTCGATTCACAGGGACAGTAGATTCACAGGGACAGTAGATTCACAGGGACAGTAGATTCACAGGGACAGTCGATTCACAGGGACAGTCGATTCACAGGGACAGTAGATTCACAGGGACAGTAGATTCACAGGGACAGTCGATTCACAGGGACAGTCGATTCACAGGGACAGTAGATTCACAGGGACAGTCGATTCACAGGGACAGTCGATTCACAGGGACAGTAGATTCACAGGGACAGTAGATTCACAGGGACAGTAGATTCACAGGGACAGTCGATTCACAGGGACAGTAGATTCACAGGGACAGTAGATTCACAGGGACAGTCGATTCACAGGGACAGTCGATTCACAGGGACAGTAGATTCACAGGGACAGTAGATTCACAGGGACAGTAGATTCACAGGGACAGTCGATTCACAGGGACAGTAGATTCACAGGGACAGTAGATTCACAGGGACAGTAGATTCACAGGGACAGTCGATTCACAGGGACAGTAGATTCACAGGGACAGTCGATTCACAGGGACAGTCGATTCACAGGGACAGTAGATTCACAGGGACAGTAGATTCACAGGGACAGTAGATTCACAGGGACAGTCGATTCACAGGGACAGTAGATTCACAGGGACAGTAGATTCACAGGGACAGTAGATTCACAGGGACAGTAGATTCACAGGGACAGTAGATTCACAGGGACAGTAGACTCACAGGGACAGTCGATTCACAGGGACAGTCGATTCACAGGGACAGTCGATTCACAGGGACAGTAGATTCGCAGGGACAGTCGATTCACAGGGACAGTCGATTCACAGGGACAGTCGATTCACAGGGACAGTCGATTCACAGGGACAGTAGATTCGCAGGGACAGTCGATTCACAGGGACAGTCGATTCACAGGGACAGTCGATTCACAGGGACAGTCGATTCACAGGGACAGTCGATTCACAGGGACAGTCGATTCACAGGGACAGTCGATTCACAGGGACAGTCGAGTCACAGGGACAGTCGATTCACAGGGACAGTCGATTCACAGGGACAGTCGATTCACAGGGACAGTCGATTCACAGGGACAGTAGATTCACAGGGACAGTAGATTCACAGGGACAGTAGATTCACAGGGACAGTAGATTCACAGGGACAGTAGATTCACAGGGACAGTCGATTCACAGGGACAGTCGATTCACAGGGACAGTAGACTCACAGGGACAGTAGATTCACAGGGACAGTAGACTCACAGGGACAGTAGATTCACAGGGACAGTAGATTCACAGGGACAGTAGATTCACAGGGACAGTAGATTCACAGGGACAGTAGATTCACAGGGACAGTAGATTCGCAGGGACAGTCGATTCACAGGGACAGTCGATTCACAGGGACAGTCGATTCACAGGGACAGTCGATTCACAGGGACAGTCGATTCACAGGGACAGTC